ACCATCTTAAATCCACTTTTCCTGATGCAGAAGAAAGCCATTCGTATTATACATAAAACAGACCATCTAGCACCCACAAACCCCACTCTTTATCAAACTTTATGCTTAAACTTGAAGATTTGGCAAGCCTAAACACAGCTCTTATAATGTATAAGGCATACCACAAACAACTTCCCCATTGCATGCTGGAGCTGTTTACAGAACGTGAGTCGCAATAAGAACTCAGGGGGACTGCCGTTTTCAGTAGATCAAATGTAAGGACAGACACAAAAGCAAGATGCTTGTCGACCAGAGGAGTATGGTTGTGGAATAGCCTTGAAGAAGACTTAAAAATGTGTCCTACAGTTTCAAAATTTAAGAAAATGTTTAAACGCAAAGTAATGGACAAGTATAAAACACTATAACAGTACAGTACAGTACCTAACAAATAAACAAAAATCCTAAACCGTATCCTATATCTCTAAATATTTCCTGTTCCCTCTTCTGTTTCCCTTGTTGATGTTCTGTACTCAGTTTGTATCCTTAAATGGGTTAGCAGATGTCTTACAGCACAACATGAAACCATGTGTCATACTATCCGTTTGTTCTTTGTTTTTGTTTTTTTTTGTTTTTTTTTTGTTTTTTTTTTTGTCTTTCATTTAAATGGGGTAGGCGTTATAAGCTTTTAGCTTCAGCCTATACCCTTTCGGCCAAACAGTATGATTACTGAAACAAATGTAATTGAAATGTCACTGAATGGAATATACCTTGTTTCAAAGCTGAAATAAACTATAACTATTTTATTGCAACTTTATTCTCATAAGTAATGACTTTATTTTCGTTGGTTAATGTCTAATGACTTCAATCTTGAAGTCTTTTTTTTTCTTTTAATGTGGCCCTAGTAAAATCGCATGTGTGAATAAAAAAAAAAGTTCATGTCACCTTCCGGGCTCCATAGTTTACTAAATCTGTGCTTCTTTATTCAGTCAATACTTTATACACTTCTGTATAAGATCACTTAAAGAGTTTACCATTTGTTATGGTTTATTTAACCATTTATTTTGAACACAATCCATACATTATGGTAACTGATTTGAATCCATCCATTCAACCTAAAGAGATTTTAACATGTGCAAGCCTGCAACAAGCTGTACAGTACAGTGACTTTTAATCATATGAATCACATCTAATGTTCTTTACACACAGTACGTGTTTGACTGCTCATAGTCATATGTGTTGTTGCCAGTTCCCTACACTCTCCCTAACCGGCTCTGCTCTTTGTATCATTGTATGAGGTAATTCTTTAATCAGTCTTGATTAAAAGAAAAATCATCTTGATGTGGTGACAGTGATTTTGTTTTTGGGCTCGGGGTAAGAAGGATCTGGTGACAGCAGGGTTGAGTGATTATCCTGCAGAAGCAGACATGAGCAGAGACACAAGTAAGAAAATCCAGAAAAGGAGTTAACTTGGAAGCTTGAAGAAGATTGAAAACAAGCTGATGGCTAGCAATGATCCTGGCACAGAAGAGGGGCAGGGTGTGTAGTCCTGAGATAAAGCCTTATGTATCAATTTATGTTTTTGTCTGATTTTGCATTATAGGCTGCATTAAGCTGGTCATTAATTTTCTCTTCATTTACATCTGGTATATTATTTTGTTGGTACTTCATATTGTAGAAAAATACCTCATACATCTATTCAGAGCAGGAGTGTAGGAGAGAATAGATTTGTATAGGTTTGACTTTGAGTAGGAGCTATCAAAGTGCTTGACTTTGAATTTATCTTCTCAAGTCCATCAAGAAGTTGGCTTATAGAGATTTGATTTCAACTGTTTTTTTAAGGTGTTAAAAATAATCACTGTAATCTAAGGTACAGTGAGTAGTAATTAGCAGTTCTCTGCAGAAGACACTTGGTATGAATGGAATATACAAACTGTTAGTATATTTAAATTGGTTTAAAATTACCATCATGCCACCCTTGCATAAACCAGTAACCCAGCTGAGCCACCAAGACCTTGAAATTGTGTTTTTTTTTTTTGTTTGTTTGTTTTTTTGCATGCAGTGTACACACATTCATGAATGTTTGTGCTTTGGCTCAGTCAGGAAGAATTTCGGAAAATTATACTGGCCTTTAACCTGCAACAATGAAGCAGACCATTATTGTCTCTTTGAAAAGTTCTATTTGGCACACACATATCATCACAGATTCTTGGGAAATCATGGGTACTGGTATTTTTATTCTTGACAGCAATCTCAAACTGTGCCAAAACACATCACATTCAGGTCTAGTCTGTAGACTGTAAGTACATTTGAGAGGCCCAGCATTGATCCACCAACTAGTAAGACCTTGACGACAGTAATTGTAAAAATGTCCTTTTCACAGGAAGGAACCAGTCACTGGCAAAAAAGCCAGACACTGTAAATGAAAAATGGCAAATTGAATGAAATAATACTGAAAGGGTAAGAGTGCCTAAGAGTCATTGTGTATTCATCAAGGTACCTGAAAAAGGACCCAAATATCATGTCGGTCAATTGACATTCAAAGTATCTTCTGAAGCTAACATCTGTATTTCCTGTAAATAATATTACAAAGGTGGATGTTTATATTTTGAAACGATATATCAGAAGTACTAAACAGTAAAAAATGAGCTTCAAAAAGCTAATTTATACTAATAATGCACCTGAGGCATGCAGTGGATCAGTGTGTGTTCAGTTTCAGTGTATGGGTTGAAGTGTGCATGCATTATTTTACTGTATGATATTTTTCATCATATTTGATTTAAAAAGAGCAACTAAGTATGTCATTTTAAGCTTGCTTTAATGAGCTAAGCACTCTTCATTGATTAAAATGAGCCCACACACAAGTGAATTTTTATTATTATTATTAATCATAATATTCACAAGTTAAATTCATGAATATGTTGCCCGCCCAGGCTGCCTTGGTAGCTAGGTGGACAACTGAAAAGTGTTTTTTCTGGTGTCTCAACGTGTGGTGAAATGCTGTGGCAAGAATAGAAGAGACACACGTTGAATGCTGTTGTCATCTTAAAAGGAAGATTTATTCTTAACAGAAGAGGACATACTGTCAAAGCAGAATATCAAACACTCGTTTTCAGTTTCAATCTTATTATTCAAACATGGCAGTAACCAGAGCTGTAAAATTATAGAAAATCCTTTTGACATTAAATTAAACATGACAAAACCTATCTGTACGGCTGCTTCACGAAAAATGCTTAAATTAGATGAACATTTGCTATTTTATTCTGAAAAACAACAAATGAGTTGCATTTTAGTCCCTTTAAACCTCATGAAATGTTATTTTTAAACATTACCTGTATTTATAAGTTTAAATATTATGAAATGTAATTGACCAAACTATTTTTATCCTGTCACTCTGTTGTTTCATCTTTTACATACAATAATTGCATTTATTTATTAATGTAATGCATTTGTCAGAAAACAATAACAACAGACTCTCAAAAATAAGTGTATTACACCTTAAACACGTCTCTCACACACAAACTCTTGACATAGCATCCATAGCTTAATCACGACATGAAAACATTACTGGTCGTGGCATTGAACCTTCAACAGATTTAATCAAATCTACTGACCAGAAACTAGACATGCATGAGGAAATATCCTTAAAGTTTCAGTGAATTAAGTTTAACAGAAAGTTCAGTAGTTTCTAAGTTTCTCACTGTTAGTTTCTCATACTCACACTACTCCACATGTCAAAATCCGCTAGCATTAGAATGGTTAGCGATCCGATTTAAAGTACGTTTACTCACTCATACTACGACACAATCTCGTTCAACCACTCGTGCAAACATACAGTACTAAGTGCTGATGCTTTAAGACGTTTAAGAGTTGCTGTTTGACTTTTAAAGTACGTTTTACTAACCTGTGGCAAGAATAGAAGAGACACAAGTTGAGCTGCTGTTGTCATCTCAAAAGGAAGATTTATTCTCCCTCTGTGCTCTAACGCTAGTCTATGCCACTGCGCCATATAGTGGTTGGATGTGGAATAGATACATTTGAAAGGGAAACTACTGTAAAATCATAAAAGTGAAACTATGGAAAAAAAATATTAATATGTGAAAATAAATTATAAGGGTCCTTGTTTTTATTTCCAAATTTAGCTCATACTCAGCTCATGTTAACATGCAGCTGATCTCACCTCTCTACAAATACAGTACAGGCCAAAAGTTTGGACACACCTTCTCATTCAATGTCTTTTCTTTATTTTTTTATATGACTATTTACATTGTAGATCATTACTGAAGGCATTAAAACTATGAATGAACACATGTAGAATTTTGTACTAATAAAGAAAGTGTGAAATAACCAAAAACATGTTTTATATTCTAGTTTCTTTAAAATAGCCACCCTTTGCTCTTGATGACAGAAGTACCTTGTCAGGGTTACTTCAGGCACTCCTGTGAAGTAAAAACCATTTCAGGTGACTACCTCATGAAGCTCATTGAGAGAACAGCTAAAGTTTGCAGCGCTATCAAAAAAGCAAAGGGTGGCTACTTTGAGAAATCTAAACTATAAAACATGTTTTCAGTTATTTCACACTTTTTTCTTAAGCACACGATTCTACATGTGTTCATTCATAGTTTTGAGAATCTACAATTTAAATAGTAATGGAAACAAAGAAAATGCATTGAATGAGAAGGTGTGTCCAAACTTTTGGCCTGTACTGTATGTAAATGGTAAAACACATAATTTCAAGAATATCAATGATACAATTTCATGGAGCCACTTCCCAGTGCAGAGAAGGTTATAAATATTTCGTTTTTCTTTCAGTCTTTTGAGGTGTGTTTACTCTGCTCATGAATAACAGAACTCAAGAGAGTCAGACATTCATCAACCAGGCATACTATAGAAATATTAAGCCAGTTTTGAATAAACTGGGCTGCATAAACCATAAATAAACACTATTGTGAGAGCTGCACAGGGGGAAGGAGGGAAGACAGAGAGAGAGAGAGAGAGAGAGAGAGATACGGTGCAAGTGCACTGATTCCGAGTCAGAGTCCTGCCGCCTGACAATCACGTACACTGACGGGGATGAGAAGTTGCAGCAGTGTTCAGAGGATTTACTGCGCGCTACACCGCAGCCGGATACCCATGCTCTTTGTTTGATATGACCTCGGACTGTGAAAGTTACTACAGTAAAGAAAACGTGCTCGTGGAGGGCTTCACGTGTCCAAAGGCGGACAGTGACAGCACGGCACTTTTCTGCTGCGGGTTCAGTGACTTGAAGTACTGTTGTGATGATCCCAACAGCTTTTTTCCTTACGAGTATGGATACATGTGGTGGTTAAGGTAAGCGAAGAAAACAGCAGAGCATTCAATCTGCTGCGTATTTTCTTAAAACCATCAGGACCGGCTTCTGTGAGGTGAATGCAGTTGTTCCTATTTTAATGCATGCTGTATTATCTGCAAAGCGTGCCTCACTGGGTAAGTTTTCTCCTGCTGCAGTGACTAACTCTGTTTTAAGCAATTTGCATGCTAAAGCATCTGAAGCCATTTGAGTTTCAAGGGCCACTTGTGAGTTAAGAGATGTGATTTACTGTTTGTGTAGGAGTATCGTCACCCTCTTGATATTTAGCTGTCTCTCCAGTCAAGCTACTTGGCTCATGAGCTGGGAGCCAAAGATCAATTAGGACGGCTTTTTAATGAGAGTACACTTCATCTTCAGAGAGCCAGTGAGGACCTTGTATGTTGCTAGCTTGCCTTGCTTCATAAATCATGTTTTAGTAGATTACTGTCAGATATGACAGAAAAATAAGGAGCTCAGGAGATTCTCTGCTAACAGGCATAGGGATAATTTATACATGCACCATTTATTCATGTATAATTTTCTATAACACTCCCTCCTCATTTCCACTTGCGTGGCAGGGATTCATAAATATATCATTCTTCTTATTATTATTATTACTACTACGAGTAAGGAAGTGCATTTCTTTTCAGATGGAGAGAAACCTGATAGAAATTTCCCATGTTCAAATGGATAGGCTAATTTTGTCTGATAACTCTAGCTGTATTTCATATAAAAGTGATATTTGCATGCTTATTTGAAATACAATTTTTAGCATCATAACATCACCCAGATTCAGAATGTGTCAAAAAATAGATTTAAACAGACTCTTGACAAATACATCTTTATCAAGGCAAAGAAGTCCAGAAAACCATAAGAAATGGTCTTTGGAATATTGTTCACATATAGATTAACAAGATACAACAAAAGTATCTCCTCGGGTTCCAGCAGAATCAGAGACACAGGAGATGAAAGCTATACAAAAGAGGCTCTTGAAAAAGTAATAGTTGAAATCAGTATCAAATAAACAAAGTCAGAAAATCAAAGCATCTTCTGGGAAAAAGGCAAATCAACTTTCGAAAAGGCAGTGGGGTAATGAGGCAGACAGTAATATTTAATACAAACAGAACTGGTACAACAAGAGGTAAGGAAACTAGTTGGAAAGAGCAGATGGTAACAAGCAGGCAAGGTAGAGGACACATCAGCTTCGATAGTGCTTTTTTTTTTTTTTTTCTTAGGAAAAAACACCCGACAGGATCGTGTAATAAATGCAATGAAGCAGAAACAGTTGACCAAATACTATTATCATGCATGTTTGCATTATATAAATTTGTTATCAAGTAACAGATAAACCATTGGAACAAAAAAAAAGACTACCAGATTTGAGAAATGGGAATTACTGAAGGGAAGCATGTGAATACTTGGTTAACTAAAGGTAAAAGGACTTGACTTAAGACTTGAGTCAGACCGTGTGGTGTAGGGAACTGTCAATTTTGGCCAAAAATAAAATCCGATTTTTTTTCTCTGAAAACTCTATTTTCAATTTTTATTTTCTATTCAGTGACAACACCAAACTTTACTTTAAAAATGAAAAGTTTTTCTATCATCTCTCAAAACCAAACCACTGAAATCAACGTGGTGCGTGTGCAAAGGCAGTAAGTGGTGCTGTAACAGTGCCCAGGAAATGCACTTACGACAGAAGAAGAGTACGGAGCATGAGCATAAAGGTTTTTTCGGCCGGACACGCACAGGAGCCACAAAAGAGTTATGTTGTGTGTCACATGATCGTTTGGAGAGATGCAGATAGGCATGCACAAGGAGATAAAATGGTAGTCATTTACAGATTCATGCACTCCGTTTTCAAAAAGTACCATTTACAGTCACCCGAAATGTGGATTCCGTGTGGATGAAATGCCAATATGACAAAATCTTTGGCATTTACTTCTAAATTCGTTTCTGTGTGGACGGGTGGATACCACCTTCAGACAGACTTTGCAGAGGGAGGTGGATTGCTCTTCTTCCAAAACTGTGAAGCCGTACCAATTCCACATGACTGACTTGCTCTTGCCCTATTTAGCCATGAAACTATCACCTTTTTTTGCAAATGCATGTTTGTTTACACTGGTGTATGTGGGAACTGGGCACTCTTGCAGGAAGGGTGAGCCTATGGTGGCCTGGAGGCGCAAGACATATAGACATACTTGCCAACACTCACATTTTTCTTTTTCTCCCGTATTTCAGACCTATCTCCCGCCCACGTCCCGTATTGTCATTTCTCCAAGGAATCTCCTGTAGTTTGATGGTCCACGTTCATTCATCAATTGGATCACTATATTTGTCCAAAGTTGCCAGGTTTCCAGACAACTGAAGATTGTCCTGTGTTTCTGCTGAGCCTCACAGACACTGGATTGATACTTTTACTTTACAGTTTGGGATGATTCAGGTCAGTTTAAGTTGTAAACTATATTTAATCAGTGTTTGTTGCAAAATGAACACTTCGATGAAAGGGAAACAAACACAAGATATAATATTTGCATTGACAGTCCTTCACCATCAACAAGTGATGCGTTCAGGGCAGCCTCAGATAAAAGAGTGCTGTATTGCATGCACAGATGTTCAGAGAGCCTCATACGGGAGAGCATGTAAAACATATGAGGACTTTAACACCATGTATTAGTGGACTAAATAAGTTCAAGGTATATCTTAGCTATTATTTTTTTTATTACCATTTGTTATTGTTGAAACAAAACAAAAAGTGTGCAGCTTTATTTGTACTTATTTGGATGAGCAATCTCGTTACAAATACTCTCATAATTAGCTTACATCCACCGTACAAGGTAACCCCAAAACTGCCCGGCGCGCGCTGCAAAAGTCTCGCGGATTTTATAACACAAATGTTGGCAGGTATGGATATAGAGGATTTGAGGATTTTGATTTTCTTTTTTAGAAACGACATAATTAAATAATCTGATTACAATTTATAATCAATTAATCGTGCAGCCCTACCTTCGTGTACTCAAGGGGCATCCAGGGACTAGAGAGCTTTCATAAATAAGCCCAATGGGTATTATGGAGGTACCCAATGTGATGGAATGGAGTTTCGCCCTCCATATATATATATGCAAGTGGAAATAAGGGGTAAGTTTAAAAGGCAGATCAAAGATGTTTTCTTTTTACTTGTAACCCTGAAATTTGAGTACTATCCTCTTTTAAGGTAAAATGGCTCCAGGATTTTCTAACTTATTATTTTTAGTATGCAAACCAACTCATATCTAATGGTATGGAATTTGGCTGTTCAAGGCTATTCATGCTTTTGCAAATTTTTATTAAGTTGACATGCATTCCACCACAATGAATAATAAACTCTGACCACTGTAATCTTTTGTAGCCTTAAAATGGGAAAGCTTTTATGGTCAGGTTTAAAAGTTTTCTTTTATATTTCCTCACGTAGCATGCAGCTAGTATTCAGTTATGAGATATCTGTCGATAGAAGTGGAGAGTGCTGCACTGGGTCAACAAATTGGAAAAAGGTTGTGAAGTAAGGTGCTTCTCAAGGGAAAGGTACAGAAGGTCAAATTACAAAATGAACAAGAATTGACTGTCAGTAGTTTTTTCTTGCATTGTTCAAGGTGAAGACTGGCAGCCCAGACTGAAAATCTGAGGCCCTCTGATTCAGTCTAAAATGCTCTAATGAACAGGACTGTATTTTACTCAGATGTGTCTTCATCAAAACACAGTGATCATGATTGTGATGAAGACTCAGTGGGTGGACACATCCCTGTTTATTAAAGGATTTCTATACCAAATCAGAATGCTTCATATTTTGAGTCTGGGCTGCCATGAGTGTTTGTCCTGAGATTTTATTTTCCACATCATACAGTGAAAGTAGGAGGACTATAAATAGTGGTGCTCATAGAAGTGCAAAAAAGAACTAAGTGTAAAACACATTTGCTTCTTTACCCAGAAATCCCATCTTGTTAGTTTAAGTGACGGACAGATTTTACTCACAAAGGTTGTTTAAGGGATTATGTCTACAGTAATTTTACAATACATTACAAACCAAATTTTATTCATTCCAGTTGGAAGTGTATCACTAACAACCAATCAATCAAAAAAAACATGGAGACTCTGTGCTGTCCCCAGGTCTTCAGGTAGGCTTTTCCCACAGATGTGGGCCATTATAATGAAAAGCTGCCTCACCCTATGTCTTTGTTCTGACTTCAGGCACTGATTAGAGTTCACTACCTGAAGACCTGAGGGCTCCCACAGACTTATATGGTAAAAGCAGATCTAATAAATAAGTTGGTATGAGACAATGAAGAGCTCTAAAAACCAATAAAAGAACATTAAAATTAATTCTAAAAGATACTGGAAGCCAATGCAGAGACTTGAAAATGGGAAAATGTGAGCTTTCTTCCTGGTCTTTGTCAGCATTGTAGCAGCTGAGTTTTGGAGAAGCTGAAACTGAGAGATGTTCTTTTTGGGAGGACCAGAGAAAGGAGTGTTACAGTAGTCAGGTACAGGTTATACAAGTATGAACAAGAGTCTCTAGCTTGAAAGGGAAACTGTCCCACTCTAGCAATTTTTTTCAGGTAATATAAAGCTTTCTATGTAACGTCTCTCTAATGTGTGTCTCAAGATTTTTTTGATCAGATTTTGGTCAAATATCACACCTAGATTCCTCACTTGTTTACATGTATTTAATGAGTGTTTGGAGTTTTGTGTCCAGTTCCTCTCTCTGAGTACCAGTACCAGTGACTAAAACCTGAGTTTTGTCCTGGTTGAGCTGTAAAAAATTGTCCTCCATCTATGACTTAATATCTAAACTACAGTTAAAAAGGGTAAAAATTGGTCACAACAATTGGTAACACAACTTTTATTACTTACTTGTAACTGACACAGAAATTCAATAGCTTTTGCAGATATCAGTCTTTGTTGTTGTTGTAGACGTGTTTCTTCATTTTTTCCATAAACTAAACATTTAGCCGATAATATATGAATTTTTCCATTTTATAAAAAAACTGGATGAACAGAAAAACCCTCCTGCCGACATTTGAGACCACTAAAGGGACTTCTGTTCTGGCCTACTCAGTTCTTTCCGCAGTTTTGTCAGGGTTTACAATGAGTCCAAAAGTTCTTGCTCAGTTGTGTGGAGGTTGGAACAGCCTTGAGGGATCTGAAAATAGTGATTGATTCATTTGCATTTTCTTAATTCTTGGTACCACTGTTCCTCCTTATTCTTTGGCCAGGTTGTGATGAACCAACAGTGTGGTACTGTGATATTGCTACTAGAAGCAGTGCTTTAGTGTTGAATATGTAGGAGACAGTGAGTAGCTTAAGCCCTACCACTAGATTTATGGATTATCAGTTTAAAAAACAGTTGACTGACCTTGTGATTGACAGTTTTGTAACTGCAGGCTGATTGTTTAGAACATCACAGTGGAGAAGAAAGGGGAGAAGGTAATAAACATTAATTCATGAGTCATTACATTTTGAAAACTGTTAAGAGTCAAATCAACAAACAAATCTCTTGTGCTGTAGATTTTACCAACCTGAGGGATCTTTGATGCTTTATCAGTGTTTCTTAGTTTGTGTTGCAGGTGGGATGCTGCAAACCAGACTTCTACACATGCCTACGTTCCCCAGAAACAAATGTTGTCTCCAAAGGCTGTTTTTGCTTTAGGCAGAGTGGGTGACCGCCCAGGGCGCAATCTATGTGATGGCGCACAAGCTCCCTCCCCCGAAAAAAAAAAAAAAAATAGAAAGAAACCTCACTGGTTTTCTAGACTACCACTCATTTTCACCACACGTGAAGTGGTAGTTGGGGTGCCCCTCTTATCATGTCAACTTACTGCTCAGAGTCATGTATACAGGTTATGTGTCACTCACTGTCAGAAGAAAAGGCAAGGGGGGAGGGGGCGGGCCAGCACTCAGGTGCTCAAGCAGTAGAAGGAGGAGGGAGGGCAGAGAGAGAGCAAGAGGAAGAGATAGAAGGAAAAGGAGCAACTGTGGCATTTCTGGCCACACACAACAGTGGGGTTTTTGGGGTGGGCTCCCCAAGGTTGTGAAACTAGCCAGGACTGCCTCTGGTTGTTACCAGGGCAGGCAAAGTCTGTTTTGCTTCAGAGCTCACAATGGGCAAAAATAAAGTGACATTGTTGATTCTACATACAAAGTTTAGATCTTGAGAAGTGTTATTGCTCTTGATTCTATATTAATGTAATGTTTGGGGTCTTAATAAAGAAATTTGATCCTTGTCTTTCAGGCCCTTTCAATCTGTTCTTTTGTGTAAGAGCGAAACTCATGTAAAATGTCATCAACACATCTCTTTTGGAGTTTTGCTCCAGTGCAATTAGCCAGCTCTGACTGTTCTGCATCATTATGTGTCATTATCTATAATAAGAAATTCCACTAGCACTTTTACTGAAGGCTTTACTTTTCTAATGTTGCAGAGTAAGTGTGTGTGTGTGTGTGTGTGTGTGTGTGTGTGTGTGTGTGTGTGTGTGTGTGTGTGTGTGTGTGTGTGTGTGTGTGTGATATGGTATGAAAACAGAATTCATCACTCCATGCTGCCCAGAAGTGAAGCACAGGAACAGCAGCAGCAGTACCAACCATACATGTTCTCATCATTTTGGATCTCCTCTAGCACAATTTAGGCTTCCATAGCATGGTTTTATTTTCTCTGAATGTTGTGTCTCCACCCAGCTGGTTCCAGTATTAGTTCAGAGCTAGTGCCTGATTTGGAACCGGTTCTTTGTTTTTACGCCACCAAAAAACTGGCTAAAATGGTTCCAGGGGACCACCAACTCCTTGCTGGGTGATAGGAAAGACCTACTTAGGTCTTTTTAACATATTTTTATTTATTTATTAGTCTTCCCAGAAACATAGGGTCATGGAGCTGTACAAACACTTTATACTTTTTTTTTATTTAAAATGGACTCTATTTTATCTCCGAAGTGATAATGAAAAAACTGGTTTACACAACACTGAAGTACAGCAGAGTCCTCTATGCTGTACCTCAGTGTGGTGTAAATGTATCCAAACTTAATCCTGATCGATCATTGAGAGGACTATGTAATGTTGATCAATACTTGCTTTGTGGACACTGTGGATTGGCTCGGTCACACAGCGCTCCATCATATCATTAGTCCAGCTTCAGTTTTTCAGTGGTGCTGCTTGATTGGGTCTGAAAACTGGTGGATGGTGATAGACGAGAGGGTACCGAGCCAAACCGTACTGATGTTAACTGTGTATTTAAATGTACTGAAGGACTCCAACAGACCTCTGAAAGGCATGCTGGGGTTTCTGAAACCAAGTCATTTGCTGCAGTTCCTTTAGGTTCTGTGAGTCATGAGTTGGACACAGATGAGATCTAGGAATTTAGAGAGTTCAGTTGGGTTCAAGACCACCTTCCTAGATTACTCCATACTCTAGTCTTAATGTGCATATGCTTCATTGCAGGGCCTTTCAGTGGGGGACAAGAATCAATATGAGCAACTTTGACTAAGGCTGTGCAACCCATAAGCAATCAAATGTGATGTACTATGTGTTCTGATACCTTTTTATTCGAACCAATATTAAGTAATTCAGCAAGCTGAGCCCCGTTAGTTCTCTTGTTGAATAACCACTGAGCTGTCTTGTGCTGATTGAAGACCAGACGTGCTGCTGTGTTCTGGATCATTTGCAGAGGTTTAACTGTGCAAGCAGAGAGGCATGCCAGTAAGGAGTTGCAGTAGTCAATGTGTGATATTACAAAAGCCTAAACCAGGAGCTGTGTTGCATGATCTGTCAGGTAGGGTCTGATCCTCTAGATGTTATACATTGTCTTGGTCTTGATTGGTTTTGTTGGAGGCTTAAAACAACACATGATCACTTCTGTAGATAAAGCAATACTTCGTCAATTCTGTGACAGATCCTGAACTGGAATTAAAATTTGGCCTTGTGTCACAGAGCTAAGTCAGACCATAACGTTTGTTTGGTTAAACACTGTGAATGCCGCCTTTGGCTACTTAAGGCTGACCTGTGTACTGTTAGTTAAGTCAGGTTAGCAAAGCTATGTGGGCCTGCGGATGTTTGGTAATTCTTAGTCACTCTAGCCTGTAAGATGAGAGCTTGCAGATTATCCTATGTTTAATATGTTGTAAAAAGGATGCTGGAGTCACTGGATCCCTCTGTTTTTTGTTTTTTTTTGTTTTTTAAACAGCAAGTTTTCAGTCATATTCTTTTTAAATTCTAAGAATTTTTTTTTTAGTAACCTTTATGAAAAAGCAAGATTTGCAATTTGCACAAAGGTCTTCCTTGAAATTGGCTGCAAGGACAAATTTACATCTTGCTGTTGATCTTTATGTTCATTCAGAGCTTGAATATTTTGGCTTTTCAGACAAAAAACACCTTTGTGCATCTACTTTACTCTAACTAGCTGCTGCTACTGTAGCATACAAGTGACGCACCTGCTATGTCTGTATTCTTTTGTAGTCTTGGAGCTCTCGTGGGACTCTCTGTAGCAGCTTTAGTTCTGCTGGCTTTCATCATCACTCTCTGTGTCCTCTGCTATCTCTTCATCACCACCAAACCCAGAGGCCTGGACAACGGGCTGCCGCTCCGAGCACCAGGTACAGATTCATCTCTATCTCTTTGTACTCAGTTTGCTTCTAACACATCAATAAATAGGCTGAATTATTTAGTGGCAACCCTCTGACACTTATTGATGGATGACCAAGCAGTTTAAATGAAAGAAACTGGTATTTGCAGATGAACAAGCTGGTTTTATCTGGTCTAAAATCCTGATGATGCTGTCATTGCTCTTCACTATCAAAAAATAAAGTTGCCTTTTTAACCTTTGGGGTTGTTTGAAAAGCACTTTGAAGATATTGAATTTCCAGCTTTGTGCGTCTATGCTCTCTTTAATTTATCCAACAGTGGTACTAGGGCTGCACTATTTTGGCTGAAATTAAAATCCAATTTTTTTTCTCTGAAAACTCAATTTTCAATTTCGATTTTTTTATAGTGACAAATTCACCAAACTTCACTTTAAAAATAAAAAGTTTTTCTGTCATCTCTCAAATAGAAACCACTGAAAATTATGGAGTGCATATGTCAAGCCAGTAAATGGCACTGTTATGCTGCTGAGGAAATGCACAAAAGACAGAAGAACAGTACAGAGCAGAGTCTGTGGCTGCAGGTTCAAAATGAACTATGCAAAAAACAAAACAACAACATAACAAAAACAAAAAAAAACAATCCAGAAACAGCTGCTGCCTCCCTGGGCCCAAACCCGTTTCATATGAATTGAGGTGAAGTGGGAAATCTTTCTGTGATCTTATTGATCAAAATTTGACACTCTTTCTGGAAATCATGGATGTTACATACTCTGCTCTCTAGGAAAGGACACTCAGCCTTTGATCGATCTTGGCATTTATGAGGGTATTAAGATGCAGTTTTGATGGCATGTCTAGTTCAGACAACTGTAAGTCAACATTGATGCTGAACAATGTATATCAGCTTTGGTGCATCATAAGCTGTCATCCAGGTGATGACTTTTTCCAAGAAAGACCCTGAATATTTCAGCAAATCAAAGTCAAACCTCATTCTACAAATACTGCAACAGCATTGTTTCTTAGAAGAAGAGGTGAACTCGACTGTCTATTGGCCTGACTTGTCAACCATTGAAACATTTGGCGCATCATAAAACAAAAATAGAAATGCAAGGGAAAATCTGAACTGTTGAGCAGCTGAAATCCTGTATCAGGCAAGATTGGAACCAAATTTCACTTTCAGAGCTCTAGGGACTGGTTTCCTGAGTTGCAAAACATAAAGAGAATGGTAAACAAGCCCTTGTCTCAACTTTTTTTAAAAGCTATTGTTGGCATATGCCATTTTCTGAGTATATATTTTTTCATAAAACAATGAAAATTTTGAGTTTTTCCATCTGATACAGTGTCTTTTAGCTCATCTCAATGAAGTAAAGGGTAGCTTTCAAACTATTAAAATCTGTTTCCGTGAACATTTTGTGCAGTGTCCCAATGTGTGTGTTTACTGCAGTTATAACTTAAAGAGAAACACCAGACTAATGAAGAAATGGATAACACAAAGATTCATGATTTCCTGGATACTACAAAACCCAATTCCATTGAAGTTGGGAAATTGTGATAAACGTATATAAAAAACAGAATACAATGATTTGCAAATCCTTTTCAACCTATAATCAATTGAATACACTACAAAGACAACATATTTAATGTTCAAACTCATAAACTTATTATTTTTTTTAAAATAATCATTAACTCAGAATCTGATGGCAGCAACACGTGACAAAGAAGTTGGGAAAGGTGGCAAAAAATACTGAGAAATTTAAGGAATGCTCATCAAACACCTATTTGGAACATCCCACAGGTGAGCAGGCTAATTGGAAACAGGTGGGTGCCATAATTGGGTATAAAAGCAGCTTCCCCAAAAATTCTCAGTCATTCACAAGCAAGGATGGGGTGAGGTTCACCACTTTGTGAAAAACTGCATGAGCAAATAGTCAAACAGTTTAAGAATAACGTTTCTCAAAGTACAATTGCAAGGAATTTAGGGATTTCAACATCTACGGTCCATAATATCATCAAAAGGTTCAGAGAATCTGGGGAAATCACTGCACGTATATCACCACATGGGCTCAGGAACACTTCAGAAAACCACTGTCAGTAAATACAGTTCGTCGCTACATCTGTAAGTGCAAGTTAAAACTCTACTATGCAAAGCGAAAGCCATGTATCAACAACATCCAGAAACGCTGCCGGCTTCTCTGGGCTCGAGTGCATCTAAGATGGACAGATGCAAAGTGGAAAAGTGTTCTGACGGTCTGACGATTCCACATTTCAAATTGTTTTTGGAAATAGTGGATGTCATGTCCTCGAGGACCAAAAAGGAAAAGCACCACCTGGACTGTTATCGACGCAAAGTTCAAAAGCCAGCATCTGTGATGGTATGGGGGTGCATTAGTGCACAAGGCATGGGTAACTTACACATCTGTGAAGGCAACATTAATGCTGAAAGGTACATACAGGTTTTGGAGCAACATATGCTGCCACCCAAGCAACATCTTTTTCATGGATGCTCCTGCTTATTTCAGCAAGACAATGCCAAGCCACATCCTGCATGTATTACAACAGCGTGGCTTTGTAGTAAGAGTGTGGGTACTTTACTGGCCTGCCTGCAGTCCAGGCCTGTCTCCCATTAAAATGTGTGGCACATAATGAAGCGTAAAATATGACAACGGAGACCCCGGACTGTAGAACAATTTAAGCGGTACATCAAGCAAGAATGGAAAAGAATTCTACCTTCAAAACTTCAACAGTTAGTCTCCTCAGTTCCCAAATGTTTATTGAGTGTTGTTAAAAGGAAAGGTGATGTAACACAGTGGTAAACATGTCCCCCTGTCCCAACTACTTTGGCATGTGTTGCTGCCATCAAATTCTAAAGTTAATTATTATTTCCAAAAAAACAAAGTTTATGAGTTTGAACATTAAATATCTTGTCTTTGTAGTGTTTTCAATTGAATATAGGTTGAAAAGGATTTGCAAATCATTGTATTCTGTTTTTATTTGCATTTATCACAGTTTCCCAACTTCAATGGAATTGGGTTTTGAACTTGAGAAAGCAATATGGCTGATGTTAAGTTTAATATTGTCCTGCCTTTTGAAATCTGCCCTCTTCAGCAGAAAGTTATCCTGCTTCAATTTTTAGCCTCTGGGCTCTATTTTCGTGTACGCCGGTGAGGCGGTGGAGGATGGCGGACCCCGTGCAGTTGTATTATCGTCTGGCGGAGCCCGGCGTACAGCCAGTTTGGTATTTTCGTTGATTGAGGTGCACCGAGATCTGCCAAGCTGGGCGTGGTGGCGTGGCAGGGGGAGGTGTCAACAGAATCAGCGGGCGCAGTGACATTTTCATGCTCGCCATGAAGTTAACAAGATATGTAATTCGTCTCCCTCATTTTCTTTCTTCCTCTTCCTCTTATTTCTTGCGCAGCTCGACCTGGACATGTCTCTGTGTTCTCTCCGTCCTGCTGCAGCTGTTTTGTGAGCCAGATTTATTTTATATGCCAACATCTATGAAAGAAAGAGCCAGGCCATGGAGCGCGATGCGTCATTATGCACAGATGGTTCCGATTTTAATGCCATTATTGGAGTTTATGTTGTGATCTGTGCGCACAACCCACCTTTGTCACGTGAGGTTTGAATATATGCAACTTTATGTGAGTGTCTTTATTTGTGGAAAAGGGTGTTTGTCTTACTAGTGGCTCAAACCTTGCACACACCAAATCCATCTGTGTTTATATGAGAGGAGGAGTGTGGAGGACGCCCTCTGCAGTGACACTTCTTGAGGAGCTGCATTCTGTCGCCATCGTGTGGCATTGCTGTCTTCAGACATCTCTTTATCTCTTTGACTACTTCACGAAAATAGTAATACACCTCGCCATTGGCAGATTTAAAGGTGAGGAGAGGAGCTGATGTTATTGGTCAGTACAGGTCTCGGCTGTGTTAAACCCACTCCACGCCCTCTCTCCTCCCTCGCTACGTCTTACGCCGCTGGGAGGAGCTGAGTTAGGGAGGGGGGATACTTACGCAGGGCTGCGCCGCTCACCAAAATACCAAATTGTGCTTGGGAACGCCTTGTCGGCGCGGCGGACCTGACTTACACTGCGCCTGCGGCACGTCTCCAGCAAGGCACGAAAATAGAGCCCTCTGTGGTAAATGATCAGTTTTCGTTATTAACCTCCAGTGAAAATGTACTTGTTTATTTGACTTTAACCGTTCTCTGCATTACATCCTTTTCATTATATAAGATCAGTGAAAATGATTGCAAGGTAAATAGCTGCAGACCTGCAAGATACAGCTTGATTTGATGTTTTCTGATGGAAGATAGCTGGTCATATTGGAAAAAAAAGAAATATAAGGGCACATTGAAACCAACATTAGGCTTGCAGGCTAGCAGTCACACAAGCTGGCAGGCTGAAGAAGAAACCTGAGCAAAATGAGAAGACTGTTATTACAATCAAGGAATAATTAAAGCCAATGAGCTGATCACTCCAGTGAGGAGGCCTAATGCATGTGTCTAAAGGGGTGTTCAGACCAAACGCGACTTCGGCGACGTCGGCGACGGCTCCCAATGCAAAGTCTATGGACAGCCACGACCTGACGCGACCTGGCGACCGGTCGCCACGTCGCGTCGCCGAGGTCGCAGGACGCCAAGTCGCGACTATCCGTGACTCCGTGCCGCGACAGCCAATCAGAGCTCTGCTGACGTCAACAAACCGGCGAAACAAGGAGGAGGAGAAGAAGAATCACAATGGAGGAGCAGTTTATCACTGCCGTGAGTTATCACCCGGTCCTGTACGACGTGGGGTGCGCGTTTTACCGGGACCGCACCTCCAAGGAGGAGGCAAGGGCGAAGGTGGCCCATGATTTCGGGCTTTCTGGTCGTTTGTTTATTTGTTTCAGTGAGCAGACTATTTTCTGAAAACATAGCAAACTTCCCCTGCTTGCTAGGCTACATGCTTCAATGTGTGTGTGTGTGTGTGTGTGTGTGCCGCGAGCGCTGGAAGGGGCTGCGGGATGTATATATGAGGGAGAAAAGGAGGGAGAAGGAAGGTGGGAGAAGAGGGTCAGCGGCGACCAGCCACGTCCTGCGACCGCAGCTTTGGACCCGTTGTGAACACACCAAGGTGCCACACGACGTGACCGACCGACGCGACGCGACCTGATCGCGTTTGGTCTGAACACCCCTTTTGGCTGTTGCTTTTGAACAGTCACGGGCACTGAGGGGGTGAGGAGAAAATGCTGCTGCACTGATAAATTGATTGACAGCAGGGAGGCAGTTTGGACAGGTGCTCATAAACAGCAGGGATCCAAGAGCTGAGAGAGTGAAAGGAAGGGTAACGCCTACACTGAAGAAGCACATATTACATGAGCTGTTGTTGTTGTTGTTGTTTTTTTTCTGCTGTCCCCTGTCTCTTTCTCACCCTCGTTCTCTACTCTCTCTCCCTCCCCCTCCCTCTCTCTTACTCATTCTCTCTCTCCATCCCCTTATCTTGTTCTCTCTCTCTCTCCCCCTGCCCTCTCCCCTCTTCTCTCTCTCTCTCTCCTCTCTCTCCCTCCATCTCTCTACATTCCTCCCCAACCCAGCAGCGGCTTGGTGGCTGTCTAACATGAAGGTGGTCCTGCCCAAGGTTTCTGCCTGTTAAAAGGAAGTTTTTCCTTGCCACTGCTACTCATGTTAGATGAGATGGGCCAAAACCCATCTTCGGTTGGTTCTTGATCATCAAACAATGAGCGTGGTCAAGACCTGCTCTTGTTCTTTGAAAAGCGTCTTGAGATGATGACTGTTGTGAATTGGTGCTATATAAAATTTGATTGATTGATTGATTGATTGATTGATTGATTGATATATAGAAGAACAGTCAGTAGCCAGGGGAAGGCACAGAAAAATGAGTGAAGCCTAGCAAAATACTGATTAATCTAGGGGGCAATTAATTATCGTTATTGGCATTTTTAAATAATTAGCATTCGCTGATGCCTGCACTCACAACGTTGATCTGAAATAAAGCAAGGTCAGTAGACAGTGTAGGCAGCCTCATCAGCATCATCTCCAGTCACTTCATAAATTGATTATGCTGAATGAGCAGGCTGTGTGATTGGAGTGGATAAAGCCATTCATTTTTGATGTGTTTGTTCAATTGGCTTAAATCTTGGTCTGTCAGCAAACTGAACTGTTCCGTCCACTATAAAAACAGACTTCCTCTAATAGTCCGGTACATTTAGAGTGGTGTCAAACCTGATTTGAACTCTGGTCTACCTGAAAAGAGGGGTCTTGGTTTGCGTCCAATTGAACTCTGGTGTGGTTTGTTTGATGTTTGAAAGCAAAGTGGACCTACTTACAACCCAAAGGCATGTACAGGTGTAAAGGTTGGTACATTGGTAGGAATAAAAAACAAAACACATTGCAGATCTACAATCCACAGTTCATAGAAGTAAAACATTCAACTCTATATGGAATGTAATTAACTCTGTCTGCATGTGATTCAAGACTTTGGATTCTCTGTCAGTACCTTGTTGGGCTTTTGTGTGCCCATGGCAACATGTTCTGGTCTCTCACTCTCAACAGAACTCGCCTTTTTGGATACTGATTTATTTGTCTCGTCTTAGGAAGAACATGCTGGACAGCTTGCTGCCTAACCTGCTGCTCATTCTCAGTGTCATTCTCAGTGTCTGATCAAACACTTTTATTACATGGGCACAAAAGGAAAAGCAGAAACCTCCAGACTGTATATATTTGGTGTTGTCCTTTTGTTTATTCAGTAAGTAAATCTATAAAAGGGGATGTATTTCCATTTCTGGCCAACAGATGAGCTTTTACATATCACATACATTTTACATATAAAAGGGTTAGATTTTTTTATTTGAAGATACCACATGAAGGTATACAAGATCAACAAAGAGATACACATCTGCTCTGCTCACTGGACTTACCAAAGAGACACAACAATAAAGTCCCTTATAGGACCTTTAATGTGATCCACTGTGAACCAGCCTCTCTCAGTAGTTTACTTACTGCCTTTTTTTAGCCCTATTTTCCATTATTTAGCAAGAGTTCAGAGCTGGAGAGGAGCTGAGTTACCAAAGACTGACTGTGTTCATTACTAGGTTAATGATTTGATAGACCACAAAGTTTCTAATCAAATAAGTCTTTTCAGGTGGTGAATCAAAAAGAGTTGTTTACCTGTCTGATTATAGAAGCACTTCACAGACTTGTGGTGGTTGTATGACAGGAACAGGTAGCTTAAAAGGAAAGTACTTGTCATCACAAGGACATGTGAGGGCAAACAAGCAGAAATCCTATCCTGTCACAAATGTAGTTTAAAAGAAACACAAAGGCAGCGAACAAGATGTATGTCGGGCACAGACACAATAGCTGCTAATTACTGCAAACACAAAATAAAGCAACAGCACAGTGTTCTGCTCCTGTTGCTTGGTATATCTCTGTGTAGCCTTGACTATCTTCTCTGCTCCTCTATTCACACAGGAAGCCTCTTGTGAGGTGTGATAGCATTGTTTTGCAAGGCACACAGAACTAAGGCACAGATCAGAGAACTATAAAGCAGAAGGCAAATGATGTCAATGGCTCAAACTAGTAGAAACTACTTCATATCAGGAACTGGTTTTCAATGCCCGCCCATACACACCTGCCTCATTTGATTATTGAAATGCCTTTTGGTTGATTTTTGATCATTCGCCTCCCATCGTGTGTATTTGAGTGTCTGAACACAATTTTATGTAAGTGAGGGTTTTCTTTATGCTTTTTCAGTCTGTTTTCAGCAAACATGGTGGAGGTTGACTACACTGCAAGGATTGGTTGTTTTTGCCACTTCAGCCAGGCACACACCATACGATTTTTAGGGTCTTAACCATTTTCAAAAACACCAGTGCCTGTGCAGGACTCTCAATTAGAATTGGCTCTAATGGGGGTTTCTTTGGCTTCTGAAGCTAGCCACAAGGGGACACTTGAGGACTGAGCAGCAGTTTTGTGCACCTCTTCTGCAATTGAAGTTTCCACTTAACTATAAGAAAGAAGCTCAAGTGGAATTTCTCTGGTTAGAGCCAGCCTCAGGTGGCAGCTTGTTGAAGTGCAGTTTATGACCCCTGCTACTCTGAGAGACACAGCACTTTGGGTTATCAATATTAGTTATTACTCCCTGCACTTATCATGGTATTTGAGTAGCAGACCAAGGGCATCAGAGTGTTGAATCATGGTAGAGACAGAGGGCTCTATTTTTGTGTCTCGCTGGCAATGCGGCGCATGCGCGGCGTAAGAGAGGTCCGCCGCGCCGACAAGGTGTTCCCAAGCACAATTTGGTATTTTGGTGAGCGGCGCAGCCCTGCGCAAGTATCCCCCCTCCCTAACTCAGCTCCTCCCAGCGGCGTAAGTCATGGCGAGGGAGGAGAGAGGGCGTGGAGTGGGTTTAACACAGCCGAGACCTGTATTGACCAATAACATAAGCTCCTCTCCTCGCCTTTAAATCCGCCACCGGCGAGGCGTATTATTATTTTCGTGAAGTAGTCAAAGAGATCAGGAGATCTCTGAAGACAGTAATGCCACACGATGGCGACAGAATGCAGCTCCTCAACAAGTGTCACTGTAAGTGCTGCAGAGGGCGTCCTTCACACTGTCTCATATAAGCACAGATGGATTTGGTGTGTGTAATGTTGGACCCACTGGTAAGACAAACACCCTTTTCCACAAATAAAGACAATCACATAAAGTTGCATATATTCAAACCTCATGTGACAAAGGTGGGTTGTGCGCACAGATCACAACATAAACTCCAAAAATGGCATTAAAATCTGAACCATCTGTGCGTAAATGACCCATCACGCTCCGTGGCCTGGCTCTTTCTTTCATAGATGTTGGCATATAAAATAAATCTGGCCCACAAAACTGAATATTATAATATTCGTATATAGGCTTAAAGTAAATAACTCATCTTATCACTGAAATAAATCATCTGTTCAGCCGCTGCCACAGGACGGGGGAGAGGACACAGAGACATGTCCAGGTCAAGCAGTGCGAGAAATAAGAGCAAGCGGAAGAAAGAAAATGAGGGAGACGAATTAAATATCTTGTTAACTTCATCATGCGTGTTTATTTACTAGATATTTAATTTAATTTAATGCGGTTTCAGCTGTGTTGATTTGGTCAGGTTGAGTGTCCAAACGCGTGCCAAACGCGCTCATCAGATCAGATATAGATCAGAATATATCTTTATAGATCTAAATGTATGTGCTGACTCAGATAATTAGTTGTTGATTATTTATTGCACTGAAATGTGCCTGACACTGTGGAAACCTGCCTGTGAGGCATCGGTGACGTATGCCATTACGCCGCCGGTCTACCAAAATACCACTAGACCAGCTGCGCTCTGCCTGCGCTGAAAGCTGACCAGGTTTGAATCAGGAAGTTTTTAGTGCACTTTATACGCCGGTGGCGAGCATGAAAATGTCCCTGCGCCAGCTGATTCTGTCGACACCTCCCTCTGCCACGCCACCACACCCAGCTTGGCGGACCTCGGTGTGCCTCAGTCCACGAAAATACCAAACTGGCTGTACGCCGGGCTCCGACAGACAAAAATTTCACCCTCTGCCGCCTCACCGGTGGACACGAAAATAGAGCCCAGAGTGTGACAAACAAAGAGACATGTTGGAGACATATTTGATTGTCACCTCCAGTTAAACATGAAATAATACCCCTAGATCCCATCTGGTACGTCCCCCCAGCTTCACTGTGATTGTAACCAAAGGAAACCTAATCAAAAATTGAAATGCTCAAATTCCTCACAAAATAAATACAGATATTGAGATCAAATCCCTTTTTTACTTTCCTACACCCAGCCCAAATACAAAGACTCTGTCTTTACATCCTGGAATAACATGAGGGAAAAGTTTCACAAGACCCAGACGAAACTATTTAATAAGTCCTTTTTAAATGATCTATTGTTACAAACATGACCAAGAAAAAAAGTATTATTGAATTTATATGCTTTTAAAATGTCTTTCCCAGGGATTCCTTTTGAATGTACTGTTTTGTTGCTTCAAGCGATTTTTCCGAAGAGTCTTTGAGAACAAGACCAGGAAGGTCTGCCTGTGCCATTATTTATGTTCTGCTGCCTTCAAAAAGTTAAGTTTCCTCAAGATAACTTGGAAAAAAAAAATTGAACTAAAAGGCCCACTTGAATCATCATTCTGGTGTCCCTCTACTGCATTACAGGGTTGAATTTAACATTCACAATGTTTCAAAGGAGAAAATATCAAGATATCAAGAGGAAATATCAAGATATGTATTGTGTATCTCAAAAAATATGAAAAAAATATTGCAGTGTTTGTAATTTAGTTGTAATTGACTGACTTGAGATGAGATTATTGAGCACATCACAAAGAATCAAACGGTTTCTTGTTCAGTCCTACACAGACATGTGTCGATAGTGTCCAGTCTGGGTGTTGTGTCAGCCTCCCTATATACTCTACATGTTGTTGAAGTGACATTTTTCTTTTCTAGGTTCTAATTCAAGTCCACAGGGACCAGGGCCGAGTCTTATCAGTGCCCCTGCTGAACCTCAACGTCCAAGAAGACACTTTTTTAGGGCAAAGCTGGACTGTGACAACCAGCCCCCGGAGCCTGACCGCCTTTTCCAGCGCTGTTTCATGGCTACTGTGACGTCTATCAACGTTGAAGGTCCTGCATAGGCTGTGAAGTTATCAGACTTTTGAACTGCTTTTATACTGCAACATGCTTATCACCATTTCAATCGTGAAATTTCTGATGTATTAATGAAATAGTCTTTCTGAACAACAACAACAAGAACCTTGTTTCATTTAACGTTTTGATGTATTCAGTTAGAGTTTGGGAATTATACAAGAAATGATTTGTTTACCTAATGTGCATTGCACCAAAATGAAACAAAACAGGAGTGCTTTTGTACCTGATGATTGACAGAAAATACATTTTCATTACTTTTACTCATTGTTTTTGCCTGCTTTTGTAAAACAAGAGTGCTAAAGCAGTTTCAGGAAAAAGCAACTCTAAAAAAAATACTTTTGGCCTTGAATAAAATATTTCCATGTCAAAAAAAAAAGAAGTCTTCAGATGATGATGTGATATTAGAAAACGAATGCAGATCAATTGTGTGTTTACTTCTATCACTCATGCATGTAGTGTTCCTTGCCACAGAAATATATGCAGACATTATCACATGTTTCATAAATGAGCTCCACTGAGAAATAAATAAATAAATAACAGTCTCTGAGTTATGATGATCAGTCAACACCACTCACTCTGAGATGTTTTTGTTGAAACTGGGAGACATAGCTGACTGTGGATTGAGCAGTCTGACTGTGTCTGCATCTTTAGGAGTCATTGACTTGACACATATGCTGTTAATTGAGACTGGGTAATGATAGAGGTAAAAAATAAAAAAAACTCAGGGCGATCATGCTACTTCAAGATGAAGAAAACTTCTTGCGGCAGCAGGTCGCCCTCCTGGAGTCACGAGCAGACCCAACCCCATCCATACCCACAGCAGATGAATTGGAATTATCAGGTTTGTTATTTACATTATCATGGTGGTAGTCTGGCCTGTGTCTTTTGTATATAAACTTCATATTGACAGTGCGTAGCTTCACGTCACTGTTGGTTTCTGATTAAAAATGAAAAAATTTTTTTTTTTGGCAGCTAAAACAGATTCCTCTTCATATACTACTTCCCCGGAAAAGAAAAGAAAGAAGAATAGACACAAGAAGTAGGAGAAAGAGTCTAAAAAATGTTAATGTTGTTAATTAATTATTGTACTAAACATTCTAACTTAAATTTTTGATATAAGCCAAAACATTGTGGTGAGAATGTTTTTTTCCCTGTTACCGCATGTGGCCCCCGGGCCTTAGTTTGCCCAACTCTAGTCAAGGGTATATATATGCAGAGCAGACTATTTCTCCCATTAATTATTTATCTATTGTATTTTTCTATTACAAGTATCTGCATTTTTTTTATTATATTATATAGCCTATTTCCTTCCCTCTATTTCTTTTCTATGTGTATGTATATAACGCTGGATGACTGTAGTTTTCCCATTGTGGGATGAATAAAGTATATAAAACTAATTTCAATACTTTCCAGGACTTTAAAATGTCTTTTTGCTTTTTTCACAAGGTACAAGGTTAGAGGACAAAGGAAAAAAAGAGAAACGGTTGTGAAAAGACAAGGTATATTAGAATTAAATGGAAAAAAGAAATTCAAAAGTGAGACAACTATACAATGAGAGTTTGTAAAAACACACAATGCTTAAAGAAGGCAACAGCCGTAACATTAAAAAGTTTTACAAAAATAACTTATCTACTTCCACAGCACTTTATTGTCTATCCAAGCCACCCTGAACTTTAAAGAAAGCAGTTTGCCTTTCTTTTTTAATTCATCTATTCTCTCTCTCAGAGCGGGGTTTGCAACACAAAATCTGTACAACTGCTCACAGTAGTTGAGTTTATTGTTGTACCATGAATTTGGGCAGGGACTTTTAGGTTCTACCTCTTGGCTGCAATCTTCACCTGCAAAAAAAAATACATGTACATATATATATATATATATATATATATATATATATAGTTAGATAAGACTATAAGACTGTCATCATATTGCCATGCTTTGACGTTAAAATGCAAAGACACCAAAAGCAACATACAGCATAGGCTGCTACAGGATAGAGGAGACTCAGAAGTGATTTTTTTTTTGTGATTGTTTCTATAAAAATTTCTTGATTTTGCAGCGACTTTTCAATTATCATGATATAATTTGCATTTTTCTATGGTGGTATGAACTGGGTGATCCATGTTCTTTCAAATAGTCTCCACCTTCCTCGGTGTAAATCTCTCCACCACATCCTCCGCTGAGTCCAGCTTGAGTCCAACCACAGAGCCAGCCTTTTTTACCAGTTTGTTAAGATGTCTTGCATCTTTGTGTTTGATGCTTCCCCCCCAGCAGACCGCAGCGTAAAACAGAACACTTGCCACCACAGACTGATAAAACATCTGCAGCATCTTACTACAGATGTCTATTGATCTGAGTCTTCTCAGGCAAAAGAGGCGGCTCTGCCCCTTTCTGTAGATGAAGTCTATGTTCTTAGGCCAGTCCAACTTATTATCCAGATGTACACCTAGGTATTTATATGATGTCACCACTGTAATGAGACAACTGCTTTCTGCTATCCACCTTGAATTCACCCCTCAAAGGAATGCAGGCTCCCCTGGTTTGGACAGGAAATGGGGGAGTAACGGTTTGCACACCAAGTTCCCATTTACGACCCAAGAAACCATTGGGGAGGTGATAGTGAATCTTTAATGCTTCCCAAAAGGACAAGTTGCTTATCAACCACACAGACCCATAAACACGGAGCCTTTCTCCCTGGCTGGGAAAGATCAGAATTGACACTTCAGGATTAACCATTGACCTAAAAGGAAAACAAAGCATTTGGCGCCAAGTCTGAAAAACCAGATACCTGCCATAAAATCTCCATGGCTTTCTTTACTGAGCAGAAGGAAGAGGATGCCTGAGAATTGTTTAACTTCATACTTAATGGACATGTCACCAGAATTTTCTGTCTGCACACCACATTCTTAATGAAATGGTCTTTTTCCCAATTTTGTAGCATATCCACAAGCCAAACTGTTAACTTCACAAATTTATTCCAGGTTTTCCATGGATCAAGAGCTCCTCCTAGTGGTGATGCCTGAATATGGTTTGATCAGAGCCAAATGGCAGGAATCTAATCACGTGTATTTCTTTCCTTTTGTTATACACTTCGTAGCTTAGTAAATGGTATTCCCAAGATAGGCTAGTAGTTTAGAAGTAGTAACGTGAAACTCGTTTAGACTCAAGTTAAGAGTTTCTGAATGTATCCATACTATGCTTTTGTCTACCTCACACAAAAATATATATTAATCATCTATGAAGCTTGATTGACAAGGTTATAGTGTTGTCAAATATTATTACGGATGTGTTTCTTATGCTGGATGGTGTTTCTGTTCGAATAGATAATTGGTTTTCTGTCCCTCTCTAACTTTTAAAAGTCGTTAATCCTCTGTTTTGTTTTGTCAAGAAGACGGCTGATCAAAGTTTACTGTTTTCAATGTCATGCTTTAATGCATCGGCTCATAAGAAACAATGAAGTGAAATGTGATCGTATGTGATGTTACAAACAGTTTAATCATAGTGAGTGAGTAAATTAGATCTAGCTTGCTTTTAATATCAAGTTGAGTTAATTCGCTGCCAGTCGATGTGCTGCATCGGGTTACAGCATTGGCTGTAACTTTCCTCTTGGCTCACGCCCACACGGGATTGTTTAAAAAGAGCCCGGGAGTCTTTGCTCTTCACTTTTAGTTTTCTTCTCTTCAGTTTTTCTTCTCTTCAGTCTTGTTTTAGTTTACTCTTGTGTTTTCGTTTCTTCTTCGTTTTACCTCTTCGTTAGTTTTCTCTTCTAGTTTTCTTTTGTCTTCGTCTATCGTTCGCAATTTTCCCCGCGTTTTATTAATTGCCTTAAGCTCAGATTTTTCTTCTAAACTTGGATGAAACATTCCCAAGTCCCTTTAAAGCCTCAGTAACAAGCTGCGCGCATAAGATAACCTCAGTCTAAGTCTTTTTATTTATTTTTGTTCGCTAAAGTGACTCCTGAAGATAATATCGGCTGGCCAGCGAAATTATTTTCTTAAGTTATTGGCGCGAATTAATCTGCAACCAAGCAAGTCCTGAACGCCGACCAGCATCATCTGCCAAGCTGCTTTGCCACCTGGTTCCGAGAGGCCCAGAGATCCGAAGTATCTAACGGCGCTGACACGGTCCTGAAGCTGAGATCCAGACACGGCGGAAGAACTCCCCGCCGAACCTTCAGTATCCGGTCCGGTAGCCACAGAACTTCAGCTGATCCATTCCAAGGATGCCGCTGAGAACCGACGTCCAAAGTAGGCTAAATCCTCTAAACTGCTGTGATGAGAACTGGGTGATGCCGTCAACCGTTCAGTAGCTTACTCTTATAAGTTATAGTTTAGTTCTCCAAATTCCTTTTATTTACCCTCGTAACTCCGTTAACGTAGGTTAAATTTCCCCTTATTCACTCACTATTATTAACCTCCAGTCTTAGGTTTAACTTAAACCATTCCTTCGTTTATTCATTAGATGTGCTTTGATTTGCTCATTATTTGATCATCATTTATTGACGTTTTGTTATCATATAGCTTGTTAATAAATTGTCCATTTAATTTTAAGTTGTCGTCTTAGTGGTCTTTCAGAAAGTAGTCCCTGAATGAAGAATTCCGGCCTCAGATGAGAGACTGATTTAAATCTGTTTAAGACTGATCCAACGTTTAATTACTCAATTGAACCTTGTTTCATCCTTTTTCCCACCAGAAAGGTGGGTGGTGCCCCTTCAACGAGTGCATAAATGTCATAATTTAATTTGATTAATTCTCGACATTTATTTTGAATTTGAAATCGCTACACCACTTTGATGTCCATTCCACAGGTGTTCACTGGCTGAATCAGAGGGCTATTTTCTCGGCTTATCTGAATAGCCTGAATGAAATCGTTAAAGGCACACGCTTTTGAATCCATCCAATGGTAAGGAAAACTGGATTATTTCGCCTTGTTATGTACTTTCAACTGCGCTCCCGTCAGGGGGCATTCTATGGCAAGGGTGCATTCTACAGCACAACACCGGTGGAAAAAGCTTCAGAAGGATTTGGGACTGAAAACTGACACTGAGACTGCCGAATTTCTGTCGAACAGATATGTACTTTGTTTACTACAGTGGGAGATGTCTGCTGAATAACTCTGGTTAGTCTGTGCCTATACTGGCTAATGACTGAACGTTGTTGGTCGGAACGGGTAGGCTCTGTCAATAGATTTTAGCATAAGTTAGCCATGCATCTTTAGCATTGTAAACTGAGCTGGTGAAGACACGCCGAGAAAGGTAAAGCCTCGCCCACGATCGGCTCTGCTCTGACTGGCTAGCAGTGGCGACGCCAGACCCACTTCGCCCCGCTATGGTTTTGATCGCACCGGTCCAATTGAAATGGTTACCACTGTGTACCACTGCTGATATTTTCTGCCGGCCGGCTTCTTGCTCTGTCAGAGGGGGCGTGTTGTTAGGAGGCGACACGAGCTGGAAGGGCGGGATCTTGGAACACGGAGGGAAGGGGTGCGTGAAGGGGGGGCAGGCTCCCTTTTTCAAATCTGTCTCAACAGCCAAACTGGTTTTCAGATCGTAGACCATAGCTTTAATAGCTACAAGGGTCAGACTGCTGAGACGTTATGAACCCGAGCTCTTAAAGGCACGGTTGACAATTGGAGAAATTGGTAATTATTATGAACCTCATTTATATGGCGATCATGGTCCCATAAAGTGATCTCTACAAAGTGAAGTGAAAAAAGAATGGAAAAATCCATTTACCTTAGCGGGTGCAGGGCTGCAAAAACATTGACCAATAGGAGCCATCAGAAGCCATTCGAATAAATGAATGAAATCCCTTTGAAATGCTTTTGGTAGTTGCTGGGTGGTGCTGGGCAGCTGCAAAGGCTCATGGGAAATTGTGAATAAAGTCACAGTACGGTACACGGTACAAGTTTACGGTAAAATGCTTGTGTTTTGTTGTGCTAATTTTTGATTGGTGTATAATGGGGTTTGATGTGGATAAGACATTGTTTGTGTGGTGTTTTGGTCGTGTTTAACATGCAGAGATTGCGGCACCGTGATTAAGATAGGATGGGGGTTTGGTCGGCGAGCTAGGCGCACAGTCCCTTCAGGTGAAATCAAGTACTGTCAAACGAGTTGCTACCACCATGCACTGTTAGTGGTTTGGTGACTCCAAAAGCACTATGTGATCACATCATGGTGTGCTAGCAGGAGTTACCTGAATAATTGTAATCCATATCAAATCAAGCAATATAATGATCGTCTGTAATATAATAATTACTGCTTCATTTTAATGACAATAGACTGTCATGGATAAAGAGCCTATTTTGTACAGGTTTTACAATGATACTACATGTACGGTGGTGCTGCCATTAATACGTTATTAACCTTCAATTACCTAGGTATTACCCTAAAATTACCATGGCACTACACTG